TCCAAAAGTGTTGTACTAAAGCTATTGTTTATAATAATTCAATAAATATCCTTGAATATACATCCTGATAAATATTATCTGATTACTCCCTTATGACAAATTCCTAAAGGTGGAATTATTGGGTCAAAATGTGTTAATATGATCAAAGTTTTAAATTCATGTTATCAAATTGCTCTCCAAAGCATTGGATTAAGTCATGCTCCTACCAGCGGTATATAAAATGACCATTTGACAAAATACAATATCTTTGTCAATATCAGTTCTCATTTTTCTAAACCTTTGCCAATTTGATAAATGAAGGTGATGTCTCATTGTTTTAATCTGTCGTTTACAATCAGTAAAGCTGAATATTTTCATCTGCATTTTGGATGTTTTTATTTCTGCATTTATTGAAGACCCTATCCATATGAATTAGCCATTTTTAAATAGGGCTATTTTTTCATCCTAATGGTTAATAATAGCTCTTTATATATTACAGAAATTCACTTTTTAACATATATGTCGAAAATATTTCTATTAGTATTTTTATTTTGTGTATAGAGGGGGTTTTTTTTGATACCTGGTTAAATCTAAAAAGATGCTTTTGCCTAAATATTAATTGTCCTCAGATCAACTTTAATAGATTTTTAAAAATACTATGGAGAACAATAGATTAGACATTAACAAATGAACCTTGAATACTTAATGAGTATGAAGTGCCAAGCAAATATTCAGTCATAGCAGCCTCTGTTATCCTAAATAGCCATCCAATCCATGCTCTTTTATTCACTACTATAGTTCAGCCTTTGTCTTTTCTCACCTGGATTTCTGCAACTGGTCCTAAATTGTCTCTGCATCTAGTCTCATCTAAGCCACCTTTCATCACTGCCAAAAAATAATCCTTCCGATATACAAATTTTATGGCACACATCTGCTTAACCCCCTTTGATGGGTTAAACTGCCTTCATGATCAAGTCCAACCTCCTTAGCACAAGCCCTTCCCACTGGCATCCTACTTAATTTCTCTGGTCTGCCTTCTATTTCCACATCACACACACTCCAGCCACAACCGACTGATTATAGTTCTTCACATGCACCCTGTTGCTTCACAGACTTGAAATGTCTTCTGTTTTTCCTTCTATTTGGATTCGCCTTCCTCTCTGTCACTATTGGCGAACTCTTACTCACTTTTTTAGACTCAGCCAAGTCTTTGCATCTTCTCCCTCTCTCCCTGCTCCTTTAGGTACACGGCCTCTATGCTTTCATAGCACTCCACACATATCTCTTCCTTAGCACTGCTGAGTGTTTACTAGTCTGTTTCTTCCGGAAGACTATAAACGTGGTGGCAGCCTCCTCCATCACTATAATTCAGGGGCTTACACAGGGCCTGACACATCATAAACCATTAAGTTTTTACCAATTAAGTATAAAGACAAATTAACATTTCAATATTTTCTCAGGAAAAAGTACAACAAAGCAAATGTGCCGCTATCAAAGATTTAAATAGGGGTTCAACAATATAGCAGAGTGTCAGGACATTAACAATGATAATTTAAAAGAATAGTGTCACTTAGAGTATTGGGTATATTGCTTTTCTGCCCTGTGCCTTAATTTCCACATTTTTAGGTCTAAAAGAATGTTATCAAGCAAATATCTTCAGAAGATAAACTTGGGTAGAAGATCAAGAAATTTGATTGTAAAATGCTACAATACATCAGTTGCTGATATAAAATTCCAGGAGAACAAAGAATACTTTCTTTTCAAATATCTACAATGTTAAAAGTTATTGAATAATGTAATATAGTTCATTTTTAGAGGAACAATGCAAATGTAGTTCATTTTTACATGGAACCCTTGATTTGAGGACACTGAGAGGAAACGTCAGACCTGGGATTTGGAGAAGATGGGACGAGATTAAAAAGGTTATTTAAACTTCAAAGTCGCTAAGAGACTAGAGCTTAATGTTCTCATAGCAAAAAAGAAATGATGATTCTGTGAGAGATGATCACGGTGGTAATCATACTGCCATGTATCAAATCACACGTTGTACATCTTAAACTTATACAACATGATGTCAGCTATATCTCAATTTTTAAAAAAGGTTATAAAGTTGAAAACAAATGCAAAGCCCTGTGGAAATCATACTTTTATGTATAATCCCTTGTATCTACAACATCAAGATATTCTATTCTCCGTATCAAAGTGACTAAAACAGCAATACTTAAATCCAAATAGAAATAAATTAAAAAGTTGTCAATTCCTTTGCTAGATTGAAAACAACCCAAATATTCAGCAAAATAAAATTGCTGACAATTTATATACCTGAAAATTTATACTATCCTGCTCTTTAAAAAATAAAAGAGAGAGATCTTTAGGCCCTAAAGTAGAAAACTGTATAATATGTTATTAAATGAAAAAAGCAATTTGCAAAATATAATCCATATAATCTCATTTTTGTGAAAAATGTTTATATACATATTTATATTGATAGGCATATATTTAAAAACCTGAAAGGCCATCTAAAACTTAACAATAGTTATCTTGGAGGGGGGAGAGGGAGACGGTCATGACAGGGGAGTGTGCTCTGCTTTATATATTGCTGTTAGGGTGAAGTTTTCACAATGAGAATGCATTAATTTTGTACAAAACAATAAAGGTATAAATTTTTCCTTTGGGGAAAAAAATCTAAAGCAGTGGGAGAAACTTGTTTAAAATTAGCTCTCCCTTTGCACATAAAAATCACCCAGGTCTGGCAGCTGGTCCTGTGGCCTAGTGGTTAAGTTTGGCATGCTCCACGTGGGTGGCCGAAGTTTGCAGATTCACATCCTGGATGGGAAACTACACTACTGATTAGCCATGCTGTGACAGCAACCCACACATAAAAAAGTGGAGGAAGATTGGCACAGTTGTTAGCTTAGGGCTAATTTTCCTCCAGCAAAAAAAGAGGAGGATTGGCAACAGATGTTAGCTCAGCGCAAATCTTCCTCAGAATGAATAAATAAATAAATACATAAAATAAAATCACCCAAGTCTGTTTTCCCTCCTACAAGATTTTCCATCCCTTGGGAATTCCCTAGTCAAGTAAATGGAAAGAACCCTGTCCGCTATTGTTGTCAGGGAAGAGATCAAGATTGAAACCCAGGAGTCATTGCTCCTTACCTCCCTAGGACTTGACTCTGGATCTTAAGTAGACTCTGCTGCTCCGTTTCTGAATGATGAAAGAGTGTAGGACCTGCAAAACGTACAAATTTTCAGTTATAAGATGAATAATTTCTGGAGATCTAACATACAGCATAGTGACGATAGTTAATAATACTGTATTGTATACTTGAAATTTGCTAAGCGAGTAGATCTTAAGTGTTCTCACCACACACACACACACACACACACACACACACACACATGGTAACCATGAGAAGTGATGGATGTGTGTATCAACTTGATGTGGTAATCATTTCACAAGATATATGTATATCAAACCTCCAAGTTGTACACCTAAAATATGTACAATTTTTATTTGTCAGTTCTACCTCAATAAAGCTAGGGGAATCAAAGAGAGAGTGAAGAACCTAAAGTTGTTTGTACAAGGGCCAAAACTGACCAAGCTCATCTCACAATAAGGAATTCCCAATGAAGGCCTGGTCTGGACGATTCCAGGTGGACAACAAAGTCACCTGGTGAAAATACTCAGGAAGAGAAGAGTCCTAAATCATCTGGTCTGAATAATCTAGATGATGAGTTAGTATAATAATTTCTTTATTTTTCAGTTCAGTTTGCGAGTGTAGATCTTGCCAGAGAGGGTTTTGAAGCAAGAGAAATAGGATAAAGGGAAGAAAACAGACAATTGTCTCTGGTGGGCCCTGAGGAAAGGTGACATGGATGCTAAAGTAGAAGACGTGGCCATGTGGAAGTAAGTTGGGGGCCCTTTGAGGACCCCTGCACTGTGACTGAGGTGACCCTTCCTCCCTAGTGGAACAGAAGGAACAGCAACTCAGAGATGTCTGAGCAAGAAGCTTGGGCGCCCTACTGGCTTCACCACCTGAGTTAAAGAGGGTAAGGATTTGTCTGCCTACTGAAATCTCATCCCTTCTTTAAAGCTCAAATGCTACCTTCTTCAGAAAACCTTCCCAAATTAAGCCTATATGATTTATAGTCAGTTGGTAGCAATTTAATACCTTATTAAATTACATTCTTATATTATCACTTTGCTAGATTGTAAATGTCTTTAGGGTGGACTTCATGGTTTGGTTTTTAAAAATGTCCACAACCCCCAGGGTAGGTTTGAGAATGTAATAGGTGTTCCACAAGTAAGTGTTTGATGGAAAAATTGAAAGGAAGAAACCATCAGGCTCCCTAACGTTTCCTAAGCTTCTTTCTAACTTAGAGAGAGAATACCAGAGACAATTGGATCGTATGCCCGCATTCTCAGATCAGAGGGCTGAGGTTCACCCACACAGTACATGGTATGTTTTTCTCTAAAGAATGCTATCCTGAATGTAAATTAAGTCTCAAAGCCCGCAAAGGACAACCCGGAAAGCACAGTCCCTTCTAAATCCCCTTGGGGACCAGGCTCTCCTGGTGTCTGTGTCTGTGTGAGTATACGTGGGTGGGGGAGGTGGTGGTGGGGTGGGAGGGCATAGGAAGAGGGAGGAGAGAGACTCAAGCAGTGATTGTGTGGAGGGGATTTGCTATGTCTCTTTTCCTCCCCCTCTTCTTTCTTTGTCCTCTTTCTCCGTGTTCCTCTCTTTGTCCCCTTTTCCTCGTCCCCTTCTTCTGCATTTGTCTGGGAGGATCCTGGAGTGTTCTTTTGATCGACTCAATCTTTCTCTGGCACTTGAGTTCTGATTGGCTGAAGGACTTAGAGGGGAAAAAAAAACTTTAATTAAGTAGATAATCTCTTCTTTGGGAGTTTGGCAGCTCCATTTCACCTCCCCTTAACTCTGTTTGGGATCGCTTACACACCAAGGAAGTTGAGGTTTGAGGAGAATTCCATCCCACTACCACTGAGGAGAATACTTCCCCATCTTGTCTGTCTCCCAAGATTTCAGAATTTTCTATCCTTGTTACTACAGAGGATTATGTTTCTTATGAAGCCTTCTGTGTGCATCTTTCTTTTCACCTGTGTCCTCCAACTCAGCCACACCTGGTAAGTAACCTGGACTCCTTCCTACCTGGAACTGGGAATAGGTAAATGTATGTACTATAAGGGAGAGAGCCCATTTTCACTTCCAGAAATGTGGGAGGCCTTGGGATCTCTCCTAGGAAAAACCGCTCAATGGAGTAGGGCTCTTTCTAAATTTATGACTGATTTCAGTAAATCTTTAGGACTCGACCAATAAAGGGATGGATTAAAAGATGGGGGGTTCCTATTTTTATAAATTGCCATACCACAAATATTCTAAGTGGTTTTTGGGGAAATGGACAATAGCTCTTTGTACCAAATCCTGATGTAGCCCGGTGGAGAAGAGGAAGGTAGTTCAAAGCCAGTGCTACTGTGTGTTGAATCTGATCTTTCAGGTGAAGGCTGGAGGCAAAATTCAGTGGGATCTTATTCTGCACTTTCTGATTTAACTTTAATTTTTTTCAGAATATTCTAAATAACCGCTAATATCATCACATCCTAGAGATTAAAAATTAACTTGAGCTAGTGAGTTGGTATTGGGTTAACAAACATGCTTGAAATAAAATATTTTTGAAATCTGAACTTTCTACAAATTGAGTTTGTTCAATTTACAAATATTTCTAAATTGCTCAGAAAACAAGATAATGTGTGTGAAAGTGTTTTGCAAATTATAAACCACTGCACAAATGATAGCTGACATTATCATCATTTTCATTTAGCTCTTGGAAACCACATAAAGTATCTATACATGAAATGTTAATAAGTATGAAATAATGTAGAGATGTAAGACCTGGGAAATGCACATTGCTATTTGGGTATTTGGAGTTTCTCCCCAATTAAGATGTAAGCTCAGTTTCTCTCTTTATCATTTCTCATTGTGACCATCTATTTACCCAAGATATGAATGCAATTGCTACAAAACTGTCGAGGAAGCAAGAATAGGAATCTGTTTGCTGAAATCAGCATCCTGTGCTAATTGAGAGTGTTTTCTTATCATAAATGAGTATAGCCATCTGTATTAGAGAGTTGATAAGAAGTATGCCAAATTAACACAATGATCTGCAAGTTAAGGCAATAATTTACAACAATTGAACCACCAAATAATTGGTCAATTTTTAATTGGCATTTTAATTAAATATTTCGTGTTCAAACATAAACTCTCTTCTTTCCTGCTCATGGGAACAAAAAGACAAAAGGGAGAGGAGACTATTTCAGAGCATTTCTACTGATGTTCATGGTATTCTTCAGCTGATTCAGTATCAGCAAAAGAGAAACACGAGATTCCTTTCCCCAGTCACCAGGGCAGTGTGGAGAATTGTTCTATAAAAAATACCTTTACTGTGGGTTCCTTCCCTGGGGAGGGGGTCATGTTCATTTCATTCCGATACTGACACAGCCACACTGAAAGGTGGCTGGGTTGCTTGTCTGTCCAAATTCAGTGTCTGCATTCAAAAAGAAAAGAGAAAAAAGAGATGTGAATGAAAGTTCTAATTTAAAAACAGGGTTTAAGAGCCCCTTCTCGCTTTGCCTGACTTTGAGGAGAAAAATGTACAAATCTCCTGTATAACGTAATTAGATTTTAACTGCTTTTCCCCAATAAGCCCCAATTTGAATTAAACATTTGTACTTTGCCAAGAGTCTGGTTTTGGTAGCATTTGAAAAGCGATTTTTAAATTTAGCATTAAATCTTGATTATTCTGATAATGGCACTATCAGGGTTTTGCATAAGGTCATCTTCCCCTCTGTGCCATGCAGAGAAATTTGACCAACCGCAGCCTTTCAGATGTTTCTCTTAATACTTCATTATCAACCTTTTATGTAAGGACCTCAAAAGCGTTTAACAAATAGAGAACCACAATTTCTGCTTGGTTGTTCAATTGTAGGCTTGCCTGAAATTACTCTCTAAAAGAGTCCATCAACAGAAATTCCTGAGTTTGAAAAGGAGAGAATAAAGATGACATTCACTTATAATATGTAATTTTACTAGGTATCTCAATGCCAAATAATTGGGGGGAGAAAAGCATTCTTCACAGTTTCTTCTAGTTGGGACACTTCTGAAGAGAATTATCCTATAGCAACTTGAGAAAAATCTTTCCTTTGAATTTGTTTTTCTTAATCCTAATGGCTTCAAAAAAAGAGAATGGGAACGCATCATACAGCCGAGCAGATGGCGGTGATGGTTACGATGGTGGCCAGAGATGAACCAATTTGACTTTCCACTTCCAATACTCACTCATCTGGAACGAACGGGCCTTGAACATGTTTTTCCTTAACTGTTGCCTTCATTTTGCTCCAAATGATGTCTTAGAATGATACTGGGTCTTGTCCGGTTCTCATTCTCTCTGCTCAACTCAATCACCAAATCAGAAAGATGCACTGGGAGGCAGAGATTAACTACGGCTCTGCTCTCATCCTTTAACAGACATCACTACCTCCACTTCTTTCTAAAGGATTTAAACAGGGTCAGTTTCTTTGCATAGAGCAAGAATTTATTGCAAGTCTTTGGGTTTTAAGGCAGCTTTTGAAATACATCATCCCCTGGTTCTCCACATTTATATTTTAGAGTAATCTTTCTATGGCTCTTGAAATTTCATCTTATAATTATATGCAGAACCCCTAATTAGCAAGGGCTTCAGTTATTGTAGGGGGAGTGTCTTTGAATCCATGTTCTCATCAAGCATCATCTAAAGCTAAAATTATTGTTCTGCACATACATGTGCTACCATTTTTCAAATGTATATTATGAACAATAAAACACACATTCATTTAAAAATGGTTGAATTCATGGTAGCTTGTGGTCATGTTAAGTTTTTGTTGAGTTTTCCCCACCAATAGATGCAAAAACAACAAGTGCAATCAAGCGAGGATCCACTCAACTTTGTCACATTAGAAAGGAATTCTCATCCTCGCAGAGGGATCTCTAAAGTTAGGAAAATAAAAAGTAAGATAAAAGAAATTGTTTTGGAATCTGAAAAATAACATGCCAATATAACAGATTCACAAACCTAATGGCTTCCTTGGTCAATTAAAAAAAGTTCATAGTCCATTAAAAAAAGGTTGGGATTCATAGGGTAACTCTGAGCAGGATTAGGTTAGCAGCTGCACTGTAGGAAGTCCTTCCACTGGCTTGAGTCACGATCAGAGCAGTTTAATTCCCTGTTTTGTCATTGATTTCCTCAATAACTTGAGCCCTGCATTTTTCCTTTCAGAGTCTGTATATCCTCTGCCATGAATACTACTACTACTAATTATTAGTATTTACAAGGGCTATGAGGTCCTGAGAAAAGACACTTCATTATAACTTTTCTTATAGAACCAGTTTGTATAAGCGATGAGGAGGATGCTCCCCGGTGAATCTTCATCTTTTTGTGTGTGGATGATAATAAAACACAAAGAAGGATCTCCTCTAATTGTTATAATATAGAGATAAATGGGGTATTAAAAAGGGACCAGAAGAAAAGGCGTTTCAAGCCATCCCTCTCTCCTTCATGGAAAGAGTTTACCTTTTTATCTTTTTCCCAGCTGGGACAATTGGTTTAATGCTCTCCTATAATGGGTAATGCTAGTCTCTCTTGGGACTATTAATAAAATCCCCTTTTCCTGGGCTCCATTTACTCTTTTCTATTTCCATTAGAAAGGCAGAGGAGAATTCACAGGGCTTAGAGAGAGGTCAATACAATTTTTCTTAGGATAAACCCTCATTGTTCAGAAAGTAGATTTTTCTTCCTAGGTAAAAGTTCAGGCTGGGTTAACAGTTGGGGGAAATTCTGAGCTTGGGTCACATAAATAACATTCCCCATTGCCTCCCATTTGAAATATACCTATACTCCGAGGGCCTCTTGAAAGAAACTACCATCCACTCTAGACAGACTCTCCAGTCCCATTACAAGCCAAACTTTTATGGTTTGTTTTTCTCAATCTTTATTGTAGGCCCTTGTTATTGATCATATCATTTCTCTGTATGCTTCTTAGGTCAGAGATTTCTCCAGGCCAAGAGAAATCAGACCATAAGGGGATCATTTAAATTCACCATTATCTGACCAGTCCAAATTTACTTTTCTTAATAGGTTGTTTTCCCAACTTCAGCATCCTCCGGTACCAGCACATGATGAGGCTATGTTCCAGTAATCTCAATAAGATCCTATAAGTTGACTAATAGTTCAGCATTTCTATCAGCTCCACAAACAAAATTCTTATGTTTTCCAGGCCAAGCTTAAACCGTCCTACATAAGGAAGAACTTTCCCTTCATTCAGAACTGTAATTCTCTTATATGTGCAACTAGATATGGACAATTGTATTTTTTAAATAAAATTTTAAACAATAACAAAAAAAAAAAACCCCTGTAATTCTCTTTTGCTGCCATAAATCTCAGTCCTTTCCCTTTACTCATGCTCTTCAGGTTCACCATGTCAGACACTTAAGGTTCCATTCCATACCAATATCCAGGGTAATAAATAGTGAACCAATAGATTGGCCATATTATCCTGTCTGGCATTTCTTCATGTTAATCCAAGGTGTCTGGTGGAGCCAAGACTGCATAGATTATTGCTTCAGGAGCATTCTATTGTTTAATTTTATATTATGGCAAATTTGTTTTTTTTACAAAGATGGACAGAACAGCATGTATAAGGAACCCCCATCACTCAGCTTCCACAGTTATCAACCCCTGGCTAGTCTTGCTTCATCTATACTTTCTGTAGCATTTTCAACTGCATGTCTTTCTCTTGGTTTAAATCTTTCTGATACTATCCTGGTTCAAAATAGGGAGAAGAGAATAGGAAAAGGAATCTCCTAGAGTCCTATCTGGAGCCAGTCATTAGAGTAAATCTTGGGGAATATCATACGGGTATGCCTGCCTTTGGGGAAAAAAATCGAGAATACAAATTAGCAAAGAGAGAAAATTTATTCAAATACTTATTTCAGTTTCTTTCTGTTTGAGCTGTGACTGGTTAGCAAAAGCAATAGAAAGAGATGGTTGGGTTGGATGGGGAGAGAATATTTTTACCATCCATTGGATTTTTTT